CAGGTGAGGTTGTCCGTGATGTGCACCCCCAGGAACTTTGTGCTGCTGACCACCTCTACAGCTGAGCTGTTGATGAGCAGTGGAGCATGGTGGGGGCGGTTTTTCCTGAAGTCGACGATGATCTCCTTCGTCTTCTCCACGTTCAGGATCAGACTGTTTTCACTGCACCAGCCCACCAGCTGCTCCACCTCCTCTCTGTAGTCCCGGTCGTTGTCGTCCCTGATGAGGCCCACCACCGTTGTGTCGTCCGCAAACTTCACGATGTGATTGGTGGTGAACCTGGGGACGCAGTCGTATGTCATCAGGGTGAACAGCAGGGGGCTCAGGACGCAGCCCTGAGGGGAGCCCGTGCTGAGGGTGATGACGTCAGAGGTGTTCTGACCGACCCGGACTGACTGAGGTCTGTTGGTGAGGAAGTCCAGCAGCCAGTTTCGAAGGGGTGTGTTGAAGCCCAGATGTTCCAGCTTTTCCACCAGGTGTTGTGGGATGATGGTGTTAAACGCTGAACTGAAGTCCAGGAACAGCATCCGCACGTGGGTGTTCTTCTCCTCCAGGTGGGCCAGGCTCAGGTGAAGAGCAGAGGAGATGGCGTCCTCAGTGGAGCGGTTTCGCCGGTAGGCAAACTGGAACGGGTCGAGTGTTGTGGGGAGACTGGAGACGATGTGTTCCTTTACCAGCCTTTCAAAGCACTTCATCATGATGGGAGTCAGTGCAACGGGCCGGTAGTCGTTGTAGCAGGTGACTTGAGGTTTCTTTGGCACTGGGATGATGGAGGCAGACTTGAAGCATGCTGGCACTGTGGCTTGCTCCAGCGAGGTGTTAAAAATGTCCGTGAGGACACCAGCTAGCTGACCTGCACACTCCTTGAGCACCCGCCCAGGTATGTTGTCGGGACCTGGGGCCTTCTGCGGGTTGACCCTCCTCAGAGTCTTCCACACGTCGGCTGTGTCAAGGCAGAGCACCTCCTCTTCCTGATGTGGGACAGCCTTCACTGCTGGAGTGCGATTTAGTGCCTCAAACCTCCCAAAGAAGTTATTTAGTCCGTTTAGGAAGTCAGCATCAACTTCATCCACCGGGGCAGGGGGCGTGTTGTAGTCTGTGATCGCCCGTATGCCTTGCCACATGCTCCTGGTGTTGTTGGTGTCGTGGAACAGATGCTGGATTTTCTGGTTATGGTTCCGCTTTGCTAACCTGATGGCACGGTTCAGGGTGGCTCTAGCTGTCCTCAGTGCCTCCTTGTCACCAGACTTGAAGGCTGAGTTCCGTGCTTTTAGCGCGTGGTGGACCTAATCAGTCATCCAGGGCCGTTGGTTGGCTCGGGTGGTGATGGTCTTTGTTGTGCTGACGTCCTCGATGCAGTGGTTGATGTAGGCTGAAACAGTCATGGCGTACTCATCGACATTGATCTTGTTGTCATATGTTGCTGCTGATTTGAACATGTCCCATTCAGAGCATTCAAAGCAGTCCTGGAGTGTCTCCATGGCCCCCTCCGTCCAGACCCTCACCTGCTTCACTGTAGGTTTTGCTCTGATCAGCAGGGGTCTGTATGCAGGAATTAGCATCACAGAAAGGTGGTCTGAGGAGCCGATGTGGGGGCGGGGGGCTGCTCTGAATGCGTCTTTTATGTTTGTATAAACTAAGTCCAGAGTGTTCTCTCCACGAGTAGCAAAATCCACGTGTTGATAAAAATGAGGGAGAACAGTTTTCATATTCGCCTGATTAAAATCTCCCGCAATGATGAAAACGCCCTCTGTGTGTGTAGATTGCAGCTCAGAGACAGTCCGATAGAGAACACTCATGGCCTCCTTTGTATCAGCGCTGGGGGGGACATACACCGCTGTGATGGTAACAACAGTGAACTCTCTGGGCAGGTAAAAGGGTCTGCAGCTAACAGTCAGAAGCTCTATGTCCGGAGAGCAAAAACTTGTGACTATTCTAGCATTTTTACACCAGTTGTTATTGATGTAAACACAGAGTCCGCCTCCTCGGCTCTTACCGCTGAGTTCTTTGTTTCTGTCGGCGCGGAAAGTAGCTAGCCCCTCCAGGCTAATGGCGTTGTCCGGGATTGATGATGTGAGCCACGTCTCTGTCAGAATGAGAGCGCAGCAGTCTCTAAACTCCCTCTTTGCTGAGAGCTCGAGTTGAAGATGGTCAGTTTTGTTGTCCAGTGAACGTACGTTGGAGAGCAGGATGGATGGAAGCGATGGTCTGTAGGGGTTAGCCTTTAGCTTGGCTGTTAAACCTCCGCGACAGCCGCGTTTCCTGGGCCGGCTGCACCGCTTTTGCTTGGCTCTCCTCCAGCGTGAGCTGCTCGACGGGTCCGCTGCATCGCAGGCCTCCGGGGCTTGATCCCGGAGCACTCCGGAGTCACGTAAACAGTCGAGCGTAGTGGTGGTTACAAGTCCAAATACACTGCATGACCGTAACTCCAGCAGGCGCTGGCGGTCAAGTGATGATCTGCTAGATAGATAAGCAGTTTGCAGCGGGTTTGGCGGTATATTTTTATGAAAATCTCCGCAAGTTGGTCGGAGCTGTATGCCAGCCGCTGCCGCCAGGGGCGCCGCCATCTTGAGTTTTGAAACAAACATACAACATTTAAATTTCAGTGGCATTTTTAATTCAAATCCCAGCGACACAGATTTACTTCCATACGGTAATGCCCCTTTGGAAGTTGCTTGCCAACCAACACAAAACAGAAGAAGAAGAACAACTATAAACGACAATCGAAATCTTCTCCACGCAACATTTTAAATAATGGCTTCTAAAGAGCGTGGTGCGACCTGGGATGGCGCCGAGACCGAGGCTGTTATTGCAATTTGGGCCATTTTGATTTGCTTGATTCCCTCCTTCTTCGTCTTCTTCTTCTTGTGTTTTATGGCGGTTGGCAAACAACTTTTGGTGCATTACAGCCACCAGCTGCTTCATGTCCTCCTTCAATACAGGCAGTAATACCGCAGATCGTCACTAGGAGGCGAGGAACCAAGATAGCGTGATGTGCCTGGTTAACTGATCTGAGCTTGGACCGGTCTTAAAAGTATCCTGCATGAGAGCTCATCTGTGGCTCTCTGGTTTGAACAAAACCAAAAAAATATATTTTAACTGAAGCTGATGATCAGCACATTGGCTGCTTTAAGAAACTTCTTCAGTCCGTAGATTCCTGTGATGGCCAAACCCATGGCCACACCTTAATCTGGACTATACATGCATCTTTATTTATTTAATCCATACACTTTAGTTTGCAATAAAACTTTATTCTTAGTTCAAATGCGTGTGTTCTATTTGTAAGCACACACATTTAGTTCACTGTATGTGTTTGCACTCATTCATATTTCTTTCTGTTTTTGTCACTAATGTTTGTTATGCCTAGGAGTTTGGCCAGACAAAGATGGCAGCCGGGGTTCAGATCTGCTGAATGCAGGTGGGGGAAATTGGACTGTTCCATCAGCTGCAGCTTAAAGGGGGGAATTTGAATTTTCCTTTTCTAATTTTTGGCATTTTTCACTTAGGATTTGTTTGCGGTTGGTGTGTTTTCATTTTTCTAAGATATAGATTAGTTTTTTGCCAAACCTAACTGTGCTGCCAATGTTTGTAATTTGTGGTTGTTTAGTTTGAATTCCCCCTATTGTGTTAATGGTCTGATCCGTATATATATATATATATATATATATATATATATATATATATATATATATACCCTTGTGTGTCATTTCTTTGTCAGGTCAGTTATGTTTGTTTATGCAGCCAGTTAGTTTAGGCTCAGTTTGCTTGAGTTAAATTTTCTTTTTGTTTGGCCTCTTTTATGACTTGAACCCATGTTTTTTTTGTAAGTTTCTGTTTCTTGGGTTAAAAATAAAAAAACCTATTTTAGTATTAATTCCTGTGACTCCTCATGCTTTTCCTCTCGGTCCCTCACACTGCTTCAGAAGAAATGATGAAAAGCTTCAGGAAAAAGGGCCGTTTATAAACCTTAGTGATGCTGAGATGTTTGGACAAACTGCTTCAATGATCCCCACAGTTCAACCTGGGATTTTTTTTTTTTTTATCGTTTTTTCCCCATTTAAGCTACTTTGAAATTATTAATAATCAGTGTTTATAATAAATTTTAAAGTTTTGTTGTGTGTAAAATGTTTTCATTTCAAAATCCTTCAAGTTTCAGTTTTTCTACCATTTTAGTGAAATAAGCTCCAGCAGACGGTGAAAGGGTGAAAATTGGGCAATGATGAGCAAAATGAATGGTGTTAGTCATTTTATTTAAACATCATAGTTTCTCTACAGTTTTTAGTTTATGTGTTCAACCAATCTAATGTGTTTTTACCCAATCTATATTTGGAAGGAAAACCAATAAAAATGAGTCAGTTTAGCCAAAATATTTGTTTTATTGCAACTTTCAAAAGCCTGATGAAGGTGTTGAACCAACAACCTCAGGAGTGGGAGTCCATCTCTTCCAGCTGACGCACTAATAAAGAAAATTCATGTTAAAACCATTAAACCTTAAACCCATTACATCTGTAACCAGTGGCTTGCTCTGATTTTGATCGTTACATTCTTTAATCTGACCAAACTAGTTTTAACAGATAGATTGGTTGTTTTTCCAACCAATCTATCCTTAGAATCTATGTAAACTCCCACATCTTGACTGAACACAGAGGCTGTTTAAATGCCTGCCAAAGTTCCCGGCGGTCTGAAACACCTCATCTATTTTGGCTCCTCCCCCAAATGAAGCAAGCCTCGTGGACACGCCCCCTCCAGTACTGGACAAATGCCTGGAAGCCCCGCCTCCTCTCGTTACATCACCAATACACCTGATTGTTGCTCATCTCTGCAGATTATCTGCGATGGAAGAACTCGTTATTTTATATGGCAAACCTAAAGATGGTTTAATGTCTGGAAAGATGGAAAACAGGCGTGTTTATTCACACGGTTCCATCAAATGTTCTCTGGATGCATTAAAGACAAACAAAAGAACCAACTTTAGTCACAATAATCAGATGGATTCCAGCTTTAAATGCATTAACATTTATTTAATCCATGGAGGAAGAACAAAAGACACATTAATGATGAAAATGAAAACAGCATCATTGTAATGAAGAGATGACGTCACTGATGTCCTCCAATGGCGTCTTTCTCCAGTTTAACTTCAGGTTTAATCTCCAGCTGGAGCAAAGGGGAAGCAGTGGACCCAGCAGAGCCGCGCTGATCAAGGATCCCAGCAGGACGACTCGCTCCAGCTGCTGCTGCTTCACTCTTCACTGGAAACATGGCTGCCATCGACATCTTCATCTTCATGAAATGACTGCTGCTCTGCAGACTATCAATCCATTTGTGACTGCGTCTATGATTGGATCGGATCAGCGCCGTGGGAAACAAGGCTCCGCACTTGTCGCACTGGTACCCAGAGTGATCACGCTGGTGGAGTTTCAGAGACTTTGGATTACTAAAGGCTGCATCACACTGCTCACATTGGAACGGTTTCACATCCAGGTGGCTATACATATGCATCTTCAGACCCGGGCTACCCATGAACGTTTTGTCGCACTTGGAACAGGCGTAGGGTTTCTCTCCGGTGTGACTGCGCCGGTGTTGTTGCAGACCCAATAAAATGGAATAACTTTTCCCACACAGGTCACAGGCGTATGGCTTCTCCCCAGTGTGTATCCGTCTATGGGTGGTCAGGGCACTCGAGACTCTAAAAGATTTCCCACAATCGTCACACTTGTAAGGTTTTTCTCCTGTGTGGATCCTCTTGTGACTCTGCAGAGAGTTTAGGTATGGGAATGAAACTCCACACTCATCACAGCTGTACGGTTTCTCTCCGGTGTGAATACGCTGGTGGATTTTTAGCCCCATCAGCTGTTTGAATGAGGAGCCACAGTCAGTGCAGGTGTAGGGTTTCTCCTCGCTGTGAACAACCTGGTGGGCCTTCAGCCTCTGGGCTGATTGGAAGGCTTTACCACAGAGTTTACAGCAATGGGGCGTTGCTCCACTTTTCTTTTTACGTTTCTGTTAAATAGAGAAAAAAAGAGAAATAAGTGGAGCTAATTGTCTCAATCCAGTATTTAACAAACACACTGAATCCAAAGAAAGAGAAGATATGAGACCAGCTCCAAACATGACTCCATGTCTTCAACACTGATCACAATCTTGGTTTCTCTGCTCAGAATATAATCCACAAGACAGGTTTAAAAACTCTGATTAAATTGATCTAGCCTAAAATCAGGAACGCATTGTTTGGTTTCACAACGGCTGCTATGAATTAGTTCAATCAATAAGTATGAAAAGCAATAATCAGTGGAGCGACGATTCCATGCCCACCACAGGAGCTCCTTCAGCAGGAGACTCCTTTTACCCAGATGCTCCACAGGAAATCCTTCCTGCCTCCATCAATCTCTACGCCTCCCTCAGAAAGTCATACAGCCCCCCCCCTTCATAATTCAGAATCAAATTATCGACAAATGTGACGTTTATTCATCCTTTTACTCTTTTGCTCAGTCCTTTTTTTTAGATCTGCACATATATATATATATATATATATATATATATATACATATACATATACATACATACACACACACACACACACACACATATATATACAAATACATATATATATGTATTTGTATATATGTATATATATGTATATATATATATACACACACACACACATATACATATATATGTATGTGTGTGTGTATATATATATATATATATATATATATTAGTGCTGTCAATCGATTAAATTTTTTTAATCGCGATTAATCGCATCAATGCCTGAGTTAACTCGCGATTAATCGCATTTTAATCGCAAATTTTTTTTCTGATTGAAAATCATTTAAATACTCTCGATGACATACAAAAAATACATACAGGCTAGGTTTGTGCCAATGTTCTTTTTTTTAAATGAAAACAGGTCACAGACACTGATTTATGCCATAGAAACATATGGCAAGAAGATGGGGAGGCATGTAGCAAAAAATAACAAATATGTAGCCAAAAAAAAGGCCCTGAAAACAGGCTGATGTAAAAGACAGTCTTTACAGTTAATACAGTCTTTTGAACAAAGACAAGCATTTTACCCTACTGCTATAAAATGTAGTACAGTTAACATTAGATGTTAATTAACCAAGATAATAATGAACAATTTTCAATCAATACATCAAAATCAATAGACCGACATCACTAGATGGAGGTAGTCTATGAAAGTTACTTTTCAGACTCTAAACGAAAATGAGAACACAGACACACCCACCCACACACACACACACGATACCGACCTGTGACAGCAAGAGTGCCGTAGCAGATTCCATTTCACCTCAGTAATCAGTTTTCTCAGCGTATTTCAGGTTGCTACTAGTTACCAGACACTCAACTTGTTTGTTGGTGGTGGGGCTTAAAGAAAAGGCACTAGCGCCACCCAGTGTATGAGCGTCTTTTTTCCTTGAGGAGCTCCGCTCTCGAAGCCTATGAGAAATGCATAGACTGGGGGAAAATAGCCCCGCCTTCCCGCAGGCTGCAGCGGGATGTACTTGGAAAAATTGTACCATAAAACCACATAGCGTTAATCTCACGTTAAAAAAATTATCGCCGTTAAAATGGCCTCGCGTTAACGCGATAATAACGCGATAATTTTGACAGCACTAATATATATATATATATATATTAGTGCTGTCAAAATTATCGCGTTATTAACGCGGAGCTCACCCATCCAATAATTTGGATGGGTGAGCAAATACTTTTGGCAATATAGTGTATATATATGTGTGTGTATGTGTATATATATATATATATATATATATATATATATATATATATATATACACACACACACATATATATACAAATACATATATATATATATATATGTATTTGTGTGTGTATATATATATACACTATATTGCCAAAAGTATTTGCTCACCCATCCAAATTATTGGAATCAGGTGTTCCAATCACTTCCATGGCCACAGGTGTATAAATTCAAGCACCTAGGCATGCAGACTGTTTTTACAAACATTTGTGAAAGAATGGGTCGCTCTCAGGAGCTCAGTGAATTCCAGCGTGGAACTGTGATAGGATGCCACCTGTGCAACAAATCCAGTCGTGAAATTTCCTCGCTCCTAAATATTCCACAGTCAACTGTCAGCTGTATTATAAGAAAATGGAAGTGTTTGGGAACGACAGCAACTCAGCCACGAAGTGGTAGGCCACGTAAACTGACGGAGCGGGGTCAGCGGATGCTGACGCGCATAGTGCGAAGAGGTCGCCAACTTTCTGCAGAGTCAATCACTACAGACCTCCAAACTTCATGTGGCCTTCAGATTAGCTCAAGAACAGTGCGCAGAGAGCTTCATGGAATGGGTTTCCATGGTCGAGCAGCTGCATCCAAGCCATACATCACCAAGTGCAATGCAAAGCGTCGGATGCGGTGGTGTAAAGCACGCCGCCACTGGACTCTAGAGCAGTGGAGACGCGTTCTCTGGAGTGACGAATCGCGCTTCTCCATCTGGCAATCTGATGGACGGGTCTGGGTTTGGCGGTTGCCAGGAGAACGGTACTTGTCTGACTGCATTGTGCCAAGTGTAAAGTTTGGTGGAGGGGGGATTATGGTGTGGGGTTGTTTTTCAGGAGCTGGGCTTGGCCCCTTAGTTCCAGTGAAAGGAACTCTGAATGCTTCAGCATACCAAGACATTTTGGACAATTCCATGCTCCCAACTTTGTGGGAACAGTTTGGAGCTGGCCCCTTCCTCTTCCAACATGACTGTGCACCAGTGCACAAAGCAAGGTCCATAAAGACATGGATGACAGAGTCTGGTGTGGATGAACTTGACTGGCCTGCACAGAGTCCTGACCTCAACCCGATAGAACACCTTTGGGATGAATTAGAGCGGAGACTGAGAGCCAGGCCTTCTCGTCCAACATCAGTGTGCGACCTCACAAATGCGCTTCTGGAAGAATGGTCAAAAATTCCCATAAACACACTCCTAAACCTTGTGGACAGCCTTCCCAGAAGAGTTGAAGCTGTTCTAGCTGCAAAGGGTGGACCGACGTCATATTGAACCCTATGGATTAGGAACGGGATGTCACTTAAGCTCATATGTGAGTCAAGGCAGGTGAGCAAATACTTTTGGCAATATAGTGTATATACATATATATCGCTACAAGCATGCTTAGTGTGAGGGATTGCTGAGAGTCAATGAGTCGATGCAATCAGCTGGTTTTCCTTAGATAGAAAACTTTGAATCAATCTGACTGGATGATCTGGTTGAACTGTAAGGTGCCTTGAGATGACATGATGTGAATTGGAGCTGTAGAAATAAAATATAGAAAGTAGATCGGACAACTGCAGCTGATCCAGATACTGCTGCCTGCGTCCTCACTAGAACTATAGAAAATAGATCACAACAGCCTGGTTCTGAAGTCCTTCCTCTGGCTCCCTGTAGCTCAGAGAATAGACTTTAAAATCCTTCTGTTAGTCTAGAAATCACTGAATAGATCAGCACCTCAATCCATAACAGATCTGCTGTCCATGGATCTACCTCCCAGACCACTCAGGTCTTCTAGTTCCAGCAAGAACTAGAACCAAACCTGGAGAAACAGCATCTATGCTCCCTGGATCTGGAACAAACTCCCAGCTGCATCTATGCTCCCTGGATCTGGAACAAACTCCCAGCAGCATCTATGCTCCCTGGATCTGGAACAAACTCCCAGCTGCATCTATGCTCCCTGGATCTGGAACAGACTCCCAGCAGCATCTATGCTTCCTTGATCTGGAACAAACTCCCAGCAGCATCTATGCTTCCTGGATCTGGAACAGACTCCCAGCAGCATCTATGCTTCCTTGATCTGGAACAAACTCCCAGCTGCATCTATGCTTCCTGGATCTGGAACAGACTCCCAGCAGCATCTATGCTCCCTGGATCTGGAACAGACTCCCAGCAGCATCTATGCTCCCTGGATCTGGAACAAACTCCCAGCAGCATCTATGCTCCCTGGATCTGGAACAGACTCCCAGCAGCATCTATGCTCCCTGGATCTGGAACAAACTCCCAGCTGCATCTATGCTCCCTGGATCTGGAACAGACTCCCAGCAGCATCTATGCTCCCTGGATCTGGAACAAACTCCCAGCTGCATCTATGCTCCCTGGATCTGGAACAGACTCCCAGCAGCATCTATGCTCCCTGGATCTGGAACAGACTCCCAGCAGCATCTATGCTCCCTGGATCTGGAACAAACTCCCAGCAGCATCTATGCTCCCTGGATCTGGAACAGACTCCCAGCAGCATCTATGCTCCCTGGATCTGGAACAGACTCCCAGCAGCATCTATGCTCCCTGGATCTGGAACAGACTCCCAGCAGCATCTATGCTCCCTGGATCTGGAACAGACTCCCAGCAGCATCTATGCTCCCTGGATCTGGAACAGACTCCCAGCAGCATCTATGCTCCCTGGATCTGGAACAAACTCCCAGCTGCATCTATGCTCCCTGGATCTGGAACAGACTCCCAGCAGCATCTATGCTCCCTGGATCTGGAACAGACTCCCAGCAGCATCTATGCTCCCTGGATCTGGAACAGACTCCCAGCAGCATCTATGCTCCCTGGATCTGGAACAGACTCCCAGCAGCATCTATGCTCCCTGGATCTGGAACAAACTCCCAGCAGCATCTATGCTCCCTGGATCTAGAACAAACTCCCAGCAGACTGGAGACGAGCTGCCTGATTTGCCTGATTTAAAAGGGAATTCATTGGAGACGGCTCAGAGGATTGGACCCCGGGGTGGGGGGGACGAGACCATGTGATTAGGGAGGAGGGGGGTCCTGCAGAGATCAAAGGAACATCAGGGGTCTTTGTTTGGGTCATTCTCTGCTTCCTGGAGGGGGAGGGGGGGCTTTAAGTGTGGAGACTTATTGACTGGGACCAGTATGGCAGGCCATTTAGACATTTATTAGCTTGACTGAATATATAATCCACATTCCTCAGATGCATTTCATTCTAGTCTAAATAAACATGTCAGATATCTAACATGTAATTGTTTCCAGTGCAAAACACAGTTGGCTTCAACGTCCAGATATCTAGAATAAACATTCTTCCTATCTAAAATGAATTCTGATGAGGTTGATCTCTAATTTCATATCTCTATAATAGAGTTACTGTTTCAGATATAAAAAATGAATATAATGTTACAGATGTCCAGAAATCCAATTATTGACATCAAAACTATATTTCTGCTGGTAGAAATATAATTATAGATATGACTAGTTACATTGGAATTCCAGATATCTCAACTTTATAATAATAATAATGCCAAACATGCAGTTTGAGGTGCTTGCAAAAGAATGAGGCTCAGTTTGAACATAAAATAGGGAGACTGACTAGTCTAATTTCTATTATAGATAGCACTAAAGCATTCTACCTATCCACATTTCTATTATAGATAGAACTAAAGCATTCTACCTATCCACATTTCTATTATAGATAGCGCTAAAGCATTGTATGACAGCAGAAATCTAATTTCAGGATGCAATAAATAGAACTGAACTAGTCAGAATAAACTTTCAGAAAGCTGGAAATCTTAACATTTAAAGTGACCTTTATTAGCGTGACTGAATATTTAATCCAGATTTCTTAAATGCATTTCTTCCTGCTCTAAATCAACTTTCAGAGATCTGAAATGTTATCCTTAGCAGGAGAAATGACGTCACTTTTCCCCATTCATGTGTATTGGGCCGTTACTTTCAGATATCTGAAATGACGTCACTACTATCTAAAATAAGATAAATAAACATTCTGAATGTCTGAAAATGAATTTCTAGGTAACAGAAAGTTTATCTTTACTAGTTCAGTTCTATTTATTGCATCCTGGAAAGTATTTTCTGCAGGTAAAAATTAAATCTAGGATGTATAGCTCTAACTAGCAGGAATGAAGCAGGTAGAATCTTATTTTAGAGATCAATAGTTGGAACAATAGAGGACAGCGGTGGTAATAAATGTTCAAACGGCCTGCCATAAAGCCCCCCCAGCCAGCAGTCAGGTGGGTGGGGGGTTGTGGGAGAAGTGCAGTAGAAGCTGAACGGATCAGAACTTTGGGATCAGTCTCTAACTGCTCATCAGAGCTGATCCGGTTCGGATGGATCCCAAAGGTTCTGGTCCAGAACCGGAGCGGATCTTCAGACTGACCTGCTGCTGACTGGGAGCTGAGGAGGAGACTCCCTGCTCCTGGTTCTGCTCCTGGTTCTGCTCCTCAGTGCTGTCCATGTTGCTGCTGCTTCTGCTCTCCGCGAGGCTCTGCGCCCTTTTCAAAGGCTGCAGCTACTGAGCATGCGCACTCACCACCTGAGCGCGCTCCGGCCTCACCTCTCCATAAATTCTATTCTTTTTTAATGCCTGTGCTGGGATGAGTCAGAGCGTCGACCAAGGTGGGTGTGACCAGGACGGGAGTCTCGCGAGCGGTTGAGCACGTGTGGTGAACGTTTGTGTTGGACGCGGAAATATTCAAAACATCACTTGTGAGAAGGCGGATTGGCATAAACTGGTATGTGAATGGTTCGGATGGAAATGGAGATAGGAAATGAGGAAGACGAGGATTTTGAAGGGTGGACGCCTGCGGGAAGAGGGAGAGGTCGTGGAAGAAATAAAACTGATGAAGGAAGGGGAAAAGGTGACAGTCAAGGTAATAAACGGGAGTTGGAAGGAAGTAGCTCAGAAGAAGAAAGGGTGGTCAGGAGGAAAGTTGTGAGGGAGGAATTTAAAGTAATATTAAAACTAAAAAATGAGGAAGAAAAGGATAAAATCAGTCCCATTGTGGTATCAAGAGAAATAAAAAAGAAAATTGGAGATGTTGAAATGGTAAAGATTTTGAGAGACGGAAACCTATTGGTAATATGTAAAGATATAGAACAAAAGAATAAGGCTTTAAATGTGAAGAGTATCTGCAAAAGAACTGTTCTGGAGAAAAAAATCATGGGAGGAAATAAAAAAATTAGAGGAGTGATTTATGGGATCCGTCTTGATGAAGATCTTGATAAAATCAAGAGAAGTGTTGTGGGTGCAAAGGTGAACAACTTGAAAAGATTGTCAAAAACAGTGAATGGAGAAAGAGTAGGAAGCTTGTCAATCCTTATTGAATTTGAAGATGAAGAGCTGCCAAAAAACATCAAAATAGGATACCTCAATTTTCAGGTCAGACCGTATGTACCTCCACCACTTCGGTGTTTCAAATGCCAAAGATATGGACACATAGCAGCAGTCTGCAAAGGGAGGCAAAGATGCCCAAAATGTGGAGAAAATCACAAATTAGAAGAGTGTAAAGAAGAACAAGAAAAATGTTGTAACTGTGGAGGGAGCCATAGAGTCACGTTTGGAGGATGTGAAGTAAGGAAAAGGGCAAAAGAAATCGTACAGATTAAAACAACTAAAAACATAAGCTATGCAGAAGCAGTTAAGAATGTGAAGGAACAGGAAACAAGAGAGATTAAACAAACAGTGAGACAAACTACACAACAAAGCAAAGTACAGACAGAAGAAAGAGCCACAATTCCAGTGGAAAAACTAATATTATTCATAGCTTATGTTATCAACTGCACTGACCAAGCCAAACACAAAACTGAGAAGATTAAAATAATAGTGAGAGGAGCTGAAAAGTTTTTGGGATTTAAAGAGGGATCATGGGAGAACATAAATAAAGAGTTGGAGGAAGAGGGGAGACCAGGACCTTCGGGTGAAAACGGTTCATATTAATACTACAATGGAACGCTAGAAGTTTAATCGCTAATGGACAGGAACTTAAAGGTTATATTAATGAGCTGGAAGAACAACCGGAAATTGTTTGTGTTCAGGAAACATGGTTAAAAACAACATTAGATTTTGTGATTAAAGGATATGATAGTGTAAGAAGAGATCGACCAGAGGGAAGTGGAGGAGGATGTGCAATATTTATCAAAAAAGGAATACAATATCAGATATTGGGGAAAGGGAAAGAACTAGAATATGTAGTAATTGAGATATGGGAAAAAGAAGGTAAATTAGAAATAATACATTTTTATAATCCATGTAAAACATTATCGATTGAAATAATGGAGGAGTTAACTGAATATTTGGAAGGGAAGGTAATTTGGTGTGGAGATTTTAATGCAAATAGTACAGTGTGGGGTAAATGTAATGACAAAAACGGACAAGTTATAGAAGAAATAATGGAAATGAAAAACCTAGTATGTATTAATGATGGAAAGGGAACAAGAATCAATATAAGAACGGGGATGGAATCAGTTATTGATTTAACAATTGTCTCAAATGTTTTAGCTGGTATTTGTGATTGGTTTATTGATAAAAAATCTACAATAGGTAGCGATCATTTCCCCATAACAGTAAAAGTAGGGCTAAATTTAAATAATAGGAATATTAAAATTGGGAAAAAGTATAATTTTAATAAGGCTGACTGGACTAAATTTAGATATTTGAGTCAAATAAACTTAGAAAAAGTAGACATGAGTATGGATATAAATGATTTAAATTTAATAATTGGTAAAATAATAATGGAAGCAGCAGATAATTCTATAAAGAAATCAGGGAGTAAAAATGATAAGAAAATGGTTCCATGGTGGACAAATGAGTGTAAAGAAGCAATAAAGTTAAGAAATAAAGCATTTAAGACACTCAAACATAATCCGGTTTATAAAAATTTAATTGATAATAAAAGAAAACAAGCAATAGTAAGGACAACTATAAAGAATGCAAAAAGAGAATATTGGAAAAAATTCTGTAATACGATAGGGAAAGAAACAAAAATTGAAGAAATTTGGAAGGTAATCAAAATAATGAATGGTATAAAAAGAGAGTTTGACTATCCTGTTCTAAAAATAGATGATACAAACATAATAAGAGATGAAGATAAAGTTGAAATATTGGCAAGAACATTTAGTAAAATTCATAGTTCAAATAATATTAGTGAAAATGGAAGAAAAGGTAGAGAAAATACAAAAATTAAATATAAAGATTTTATACAGAGCGTTGAAGAAACAAATAATTTGTTAAATGTTGAGTTTACAAAAACGGAATTGAACAATGCACTTAAAAAGACAAAAAACACAGCACCAGGTAAAGACCAAATCTGGTATAGAATGATAGGGCAACTTAGTGAAAAATCTAAAGATATAATATTACAACTATATAATAAAATTTGGGAGGAGGGAAAATTACCGTTGAACTGGAAGGAATCAATTATAATACCGATAGCCAAACCTGGAAAAGATCATTCAAACCCAGAAAACTACAGACCAATAGCCTTAACATCTAATTTATGTAAAATAATGGAAAAAATGGTTAATAATAGACTAGTATATTATCTAAATAGTAAAGGATATATATCAAAATATCAAAGTGGTTTTCGAAAAGGGAGGAGCACTAACGATCCAACGCTCTGTTTAGAGCACGAAATTAGAAGAGCACAAGTAAATAAAGAAAGTGTAGTGGCTATATTCTTTGATATAGAAAAGGCATATGACATGATGTGGGTGGATGGATTATTAATTAAATTATACAAGTTTGGTATTAAAGGGAGAATATTTAAATGGATTAAAGACTTTTTAACAGGTAGGAAAATACAAGTTAGAATAGGAGAAACTACCTCAGGAAAATATAAAGTAGAAAATGGAACTCCACAGGGGAGTATTATAAGTCCACTATTGTTCTCAATTATGATAAATGATGTATTTAAAGATATTGAAAAAGACATGGGGTGTTCACTACTTGCAGATGATGGAGCTGTTTGGAAACGAGGGAAAAATTTTGATTTTATTGTTAAAAAATGACAAAAGGTTATTATTGAAATAGAGAAATGGGCGTTGCAATGGGGATTTAAATTCTCAGTTGATAAAACCAAAGTAATGTTATTTACTCAGAAAAAAATAAACAAGGAAATAAAATTAAAATTATATAAACAAGAGTTAGAGCAGGTAAAGTGTATAAAATTTTTACGATTATGGTTTGATGAAAAATTAAAATGGCATATACATATACAAAAAGTTGTTGATAAATGTAAGAAAATCTTGAATATTTTGAGATGTTTGGCTGGCAGTGACTGGGGAGCAGATAGGAAATCACTAAAACAGATTTACTCAGGAATGATAAGATCCAACATAGACTTTGGTTGTTTAGTTTACGGTTCAGCAGCTAAAACACATTTGGTTAAATTAGACATTATCCAACATCAGGCACTAAGATTATGTACTGGAGCATTTAAAACCACACCAACAGCAGCATTAGAAATAGAAATGGGAGAAATGCCGTTAGATTTAAGAAGAACAAAATTAGAAATTAATTACTGGTTAAATTTACAAGGAAATAATGTGCATCACCCAACTTTGGACATTTTAAATCCATGCTGGGAAAAAGAAAAGAAAGAAATGAGGAGTTTTGGATGGACAATTGAAAATAAAATAAAAACATTTACCGTAAAATGAATAGTTTAGAAATGAGTCAAACAACACCAATATCAATTATACCTCCCTGGATTCTACCAGAAGCAACAGTAGATATGTCACTAATGGAAAAGAAACAAGATAAATCGTACACGGTAGATATCAATTTAGTACAGTTACATTTAGACAGTTATTATCAATATATTCAAATTTATACCGATGCATCAAAAATAACTGAGAAACTAGGAATAGCATTTGTAGTACCAGAATTCAATATAAAAATAGGAAAACGGATTACAGATGGATTATCAGTATACACAGGAGAAATGTTGGCAATATTATTAGCGTTACAATGGGTAGAAGACATAAAACCATTAAAAACAATAATATGTTCAGATTCAAGCTCTGCATTGTTAAGTTTAAAAAATAACCAAACAGATAGTAGGATGGACATTTTATTAGAAATAAATCATACACTGTTCAGAATACGAAATATGGGGCTGATAGTTACATTTGTGTGGGTTCCAGCACATATTGGGGTAGAAGGAAACGAGAGGGCAGATAAAATGGCAAAAAGGGCAATTAAACATTCTATTAGTTTTATAGTTAAAATAAGTAAATCAGAAGGAAAGAGTATTATTAAAGAGAAACTTATGGAAATTTGGCAAAAAAGGTGGGATGAAGATAAAACAGGAAGATGGTTTTAAATTCAGAAGATGGTAGGAGAAAGAAGAAATGGAAGAAGAAATAGAAAGGAGGAAAGAGTGATAACAAGGTTAAGATTTGGTCATACAGGACTTAATTATACACTTTTTAAAATACAAAAACATAAAACGGGCAAATGTGATTTCTGTGATAAAT